AAGCACAAAATTAAAGGGCCCATATCGTGGAAAAACAACTTTCCCTCACGTTTTCTGTTTTAAATAAAAGAGTTTGGTGTAGTATGTAAACATTACATTTTTAAAATGTACTCTTTACTCCCCAGTTCATATATTGTCACTGTCCAAAGAAAAACATGTATCTCCATTTTTGTCGATTTTTACTTTTCATCATTTGAGCTCTGTTTTTTATATTTTCAGAAAATTTCACGTTTAATGAGCCAAGAGAAATACTCCAAGATTGCATGGAATAAACTTTTACCTTACATTGAAGGCGAGGAATGTTTTTGCCCTCTTCTGTAAAGTTACCCATTGGACAGTGACGATATGGAACTAGGCTGAAAAGATGATCTGTTTTGAATTCACTGTTGATGTGACGTCACAAAAATCAGTGCATGTATCTGCCCATTCAGCTCCGCCCATCTGTTGAAGCTCAGCTTTTTGAATGAGTCACAGTACAGAAGAGCCAATCAGAACAGACATCATTTACATGTACTAGGCTTAAAGGCACATTAACACACTAAATGGTGTTTCGCAATCACTTTTCATGACTGAACATAAAAGCATGTAACCATAAATAGCCATGAATGGACCTCATAAGAGCAAATAAATAACAAGATGTAGGCTATGTCTTTTTATAAAACAGAGTTAGAAAAGTTAAGTGGGCAAATGTGGCCAGTATATACTATAAACAGTAATTGTTTGCAGAATTCTTTGGGAAAAACTCCTGTCACTCTACATGAACCATAGAAAGTGAAGATACAAAGGCGCAAAAACAGACAATGAAAGCAAACAATGGAAAGGAAATACGTGAAAGAATAATAAATGGTGAGGCGACGGAGATGACAGAGCGCTTCGCTGAAAGAAGAACCAACAATCTGGTAAAATGAATTCGTGATAATGAGATAATGAGCATGTGGACGGGACGACAGAGTGGGGGAACAAAATAAGCATGATACCGCGTGACTAACACCTACACTAAAGCTATCCAAATCACAGCTCACTAAGTACCCTGGAACAGTGTGCCAGAGAATTTTAGGGATGCAACCTTGATATTTGTTTTTAAATCCAGATGAAAAACACATTTGTTGAGGCCACCATATGCCTGCTGGATTGGCCTCTTTTCTTCTTCTGTATCTGTATTTTAGAAGCGCTGATTACTTTTTCATCATGTTTGAGCTTTTCAATGTGTTAATTATCTTTCTGTGTGAATCAGAGAAAAAAATTCTATACAAAGATTATTGTTAGTATTATGTTCATTAATAATACTTATTTTTATTTAGCTTTCCAATGTTTTGTTCGTCTTCCCATGTGGAAGTTTGAGATTTTGTAAGTGAAATTTAAAATTCTTCTTCTTCCTCCACCCAAATGCATTAACTGTTCAATCACAACAACCAGTGATTTAGATTCGAGGTCCCAATTTCAGCACCTCTGACCTAGACCACTCACTGTGACCTCAGCGTCAAAAAGGCCTTAAGTCAAGCAAACAAACAAGAGAGGCTCATGCTGTTTGACTGTGTAATTTATAAGTACATTGTGCTGGAATTGAGGCTTTTGCTTACTGTGCAAAAAAAAAATCTTAGTCATTGGTGCAGAAAATTGCTTTTGCTTGTTAATGCTCAATGCTGATTCATCACTGAAGGGTATGTTCCACAGAATGATATCTTGCATGTGGTTCTCACATAGGATACAGGCTAATGCGAAGGAAAAGCTCACTTTTTTACATTCTACATGTCATTAAATCTCTACTTCACGTCTGTGCACAGATAATGCAAGCTGAAACTAGAAACTTGAAGACTAAGTCAAGTGATGAGTTGATCCTGAAAGAAGACAGCGTGGAAGCAAAATTTTGAAAAAAATGTGGATAGCCTTTATTTCTAGAGCAGGGGTTGGCAACATGTGGCTCTTTTACTGCCCTGTTGTGGCTCCACAGCAGAATCAGACTTTTAAGTAAAAATGAATGTTTTCTCCTTTGCAGTAAAATAAAGCTCTGCTGATCGTTCTAACACAGTTTTAACAATAAATGGTCTTTAATGCTGGAGTTAACGTAGAACTGCTAATTCGCCAGCCTTTAACTCTGAAGATTGCCGCACAGACAACAATCTCGCCTAGCTAGTAGCTAACGGAAAGGCAAAGACAGAGATACTGAGAACAGAGATGACAGAGAAACTGTCAAACACTAGAAAGACATGAAACTAAAGTCAGCTTCTCATTCGTCAGCATCTTGTTCGAATTCTCCCATTCCACCTTAAATGGTGCAGCAGTTACATTCTGGCGCCTCAGACACCATTTAAGGTGGAACGGAAAAATTAGAACAAGAAGCTGGCGAATGAGAAGCGGACTTCAGCCTCATAAAAAGTCGAATGATACGCAACATTCTACAAGAAAACATTCTACTTTTGAGAAAAAGTTTCCTGCCGGAGATGCGAGAAAAGCAGCTATAGCTGGCTTAAAGCAGAGCAAAGTAAGTCTGTGTTTTCGTTTGATTTAAAAAGCACCTTCAGCTTGAATGGGCAAGGGTGAACTGCTGCAGGCTGAATATATATATATATATATATATATATATATATATATATATATATATATATATATATATATGTGTGTGTGTGTGTGTGTGTGTGTGTGTGTGTGTGTGTGTGTGTTTAATTTAAGGGTGAATAGTACATTTTTAAATCTTAATGTTTATTTACCACATCAAACTGTGTTATTGAAAAAAGAAAAAGTGAAAAAAAAACTTTTCCATGATATGGGCTCTTTAAACAGATGTTTTGGTATCAATGCTTGCTTTACCTACTTCTGCACTTTCTGCATGAGGATTTTACACAGGTCAGGAGATTTTTTGGACTTATGAGAGGTGATATCATCTATGTTAATGAATCGCACACACTAGCTGTGAAGCTTTCCTTTTTCCCATGTGTGTCAGATCACCTAACTGGCGTAATTGTAATAACGGCAGGCCTGCAGCCCAAAAATTGTAGACCATAAAGTGTAACCAGGTCTTTCTAGTTGAAGTTATTAAAGTAATGAGTAGTTACAAGCATAGCCAATAGGCTGTTGTAAGAGCAATTGTGCTGTAATGCTGTGTTTCCCAGTGCTGGTCCTGAAGTAATGAGCTGATCAGTGGAGTCAGGGGTGTTGGACCAGGGGAATGCTCTAAATGTACAGTGCAGGTGTTCTCCAGCACCGTGACTGGGAAGTGCTGCCATAAAATGAAATGAGCAAACTGGGACTGATCCATGTAAATTTAACTTTTAAGAGTTAATTTTCACAGACTTGCCTTCTAGGTAGCAACAATAGTGGTCGTGTTGTCAAACTATTTTGAAAAAATTATTTATTTTTTAATTTAGAATTTATTTTTCTGGTCTGGCAACAGTATACCAGCCTCTATTTTTGTTAGCCCAGCCCAGTGTTTCCCAACTGCACCCCCAGAGGCCCGCCTGCATGCAGTTTTTTTGTTCTCCCTACACCTGAGTCACATCATTATCTAATGATCAGGTCCTTCTTGAGCTGAATCAGGTGTGTTAGAGCAGGAAAAAAACAGAAACTGTGCAATGCAGGTGGGCCTCCAGCATTGAGTTGCATCCAAAATTGAGCACTACATAGTACATACTTATTTATAGCTGTAGAGCACAGTTTTCCAGGCTTACTTACTATGGCTTTGAAGTGGGTGGGGAACAGACAGACAGATTTTGCCCACAAATAGTACAGTATTTGGGAACTGATGGTCTACTGTTTGATGAATATTGTGGTTTCAGTCACAGGCACACTATTGTATGTATAAAGTATGTTATTTTGGACAGTGTTTCTGGGCCCATGATTTCTAAAGAGGTAGAGGAATTTAGAAAGGCATGCATTTATTTGGGGTATTATAAGAATATTACCAAACAGGCTCTGTTTAAACATTTGTGCTAAATTATATGTATTATGTACACTTAGTACTTGCATTGTTTTGTGTTAAGCTAAATTAAGCCTATTTTTGTAGATTTTTTTTTTAGATTTTTAATCCCTAAATGCTTTAATTGAGTCTGTGTTTTGTTCATTTTTAGGGGTGAATTGTAGGCAATAAAATAATTGAAGTTAAATTGAATCAGAAAGTATTAGGCATTTTCCTTTTTCACCATGATGTATTTCTGAGGTATCAGGGAGGGCCTCTGAGTTAAATGAGCGTTTTGCTCGATGATGGGTGGGAGGGGTGGAAGTGGGAGGTGAAACATGATTTAATTGGTTCATTTTATTTTCCCAGCTGCTGGTGCTGGTGATGTAATCAAAACTCAAACGTGGTTTTGAGGCGAGCAAAAGTTGTTATGTTTCAATTAAAGGATGTGGAATGACCTATCATGCCTGATATGGCCAGACACATGACCTAAGCTTTGATTTCAGGTTGACGTAAAATAAATAGTATTTTACGGAGCCCTGCTGGTGACATGCTGTATAAATACAATAATGCATGGCCACGACTTAGTAAAGTGTGGGAACAAGACCATGCCCTATTAAGCTGTGGTCAAGGCTGAATTATCTCTTTCCCACGCCTTACTAAGTCATGACCACGCATTAGCATCTCGTTTGCACACCTTACTAAGATATGCCCACAACTTAGTTATCTTGTTCCCATGACATACTAAGTCGTGACCACGCATTATTTTTACTTATATAAGATGTCGCCAGCAGGGCCCCATAGTATTTAGCTATTTATTTATTTATTTATTATTTATTTGTTTAAACAGTATGATGTAACAGATATACGACCAGTTAATCGCTTTAAAATGACTGAAGTTGTTACATCGTTACATCACAACACAGAACTAATACCCTGTGATACAGGACTGATGTGGAGCTCTGGACTGATGACGCGGGTTTGAAAGGGTTAAGCGCTCCATCGCGAGCTACAGGGAGCAGGTTGCCTGGGAAACGGCCGCCTGGCAACAGGATCAGAGCCCGGGGGGGTGAGGGGGGAAGAGTGTGTGAGTGTGTGTGCTGCCTGATCTGCTCCCATTCTCCATTTCCTCACTAGATGGTGTGAGAGCCGCTGGAGAGCAGAGCCCCAGCCTTCCCCGCGCTGAGACACTCCGACCAAAACAAACCTGGAAAACTACGCGGAGCGCCATTCCTCGGGGTTTTTGAGGAGGGAAGAGCGGGATTAATCTATTTCTCCTCCACTCTTGTTTCTTTTTTGTTTTTTTCTTTTTTAATTTTTTGATAACGGCGCGGAAAAGCCTCGACCCAGCGGTGATGGACATTATGATTGCCGTGCAGGATGCGTGTGTCTCCGGTCAGTGGCTCACCGCTATAATTCTCAGTCTTTGCTGCTTTTTGCCTTCGTGCTTGCCCGCTGGCCAAACTGTGGACTATGCTTCGAGTGAAAGTGTGGTCAGCAGACAAGGGGACACGGCGCTCCTGAGGTAGGAGAAAGAAAGCAGCTGCTAACTACTAGAAACTAGCTAAACTTGGTGGTCCTAACCGACACACTGAGGAGGAGAGCGCTGGTGCTCTCCGTCCATCAGCGCTAACTGGGTCATCATGCAAACAGCCAGCAGTCCGTAACGGCAGTCCTGTTTCCCCCCGCGGGCTCCTCAGCGCTGAGCCCCGGTCAGACGAGCCTCACTCGCTCAGAGACGGGGCTAGCTTAGCCAGCGGGGCGACGCTTCTGAGGAGAGTTCGTTCAGAGTTTGGGGAATCTTTAGAAAAGATTTAGTCTCTAAATAACCAGTCCAGGCTTCGTTATTCCACATTTAGAATACATTTTCAGTGATTGTGTAATGAAGCTGAGAGAGTGTTTTTGTAAACCCCGCCAAGAGGAATGTTTTGTCCAGTTTGGTTACAAAGAAGTCATTCATGATCTCCCCCAAACCCCCTGAAACGCGAGCTGGACTTATAAAGCGAGCTGCACTTGTAAAGCCCAAAGCAGATGAGCCCAGTAGAACCAGTGGATAGAGGATGTAATTGAATATTAACCCTTTAAGCTGTATTTAAGGGCAGGGATTAGGCTGAATGAAAGCTGCCTGCAGGCATCAGAACATCACTTATTTTCAATCATCATACCATCATCATGATAAGAGGCTTCATTAAGTAGCTTATGAAACAAAACTCATCAGAACCTCTTCTACAGTCCTGACCAGTTCCCTCAGATGGTTGAAAAACAAGCAAAACAAAAACAAAAAAAAGCCCCAGAGAATAAAGCAGGGTTCTGTGCGAAACAGCTGGAACTTCCGACAAGACAAACGGCATCATCTTTTTGCTCAGGGGGCGGCAGAATGGGTGTGCCTCAGTCAGGGTCTTTGGCAACTTTGCTCTCCCTGCTGCCATGAACTGCTGTCTCTAGTACCATCCTCGCATTTTGGTTAAATGAGGACTAAACTGACTGTGCTGTGTGAATGTTTTACTTGGATCAGGTGTTTACTTATTTATTTCTCACTCATAAGGACAGGTATGAATCTTGCTGATGTTAACCAGCATCCCTTACATTGTCCCCACCCTAAAAAAATGCTGTGAGAATAAGTCACCACCCTTATGCTTTTTCATTTCATCTCATCCATATTTCAAAGCCTACAGTTATTAAAAGAGGGGTTTAGATGAACAACTAATTTTTTAAAGAAGCACTATGTATGGACTACATGATTTGTTTAGCTCTCTGCCATGTATATGCATATGTAGTAGAGCAGAGTGAATTTGACAGGATATACTCCCTGTGAAATCCCGGATGCTTGATTGATAGGAGTAAATCTTCATCACGCCTCCTGTGATTATGTGGCCTGCTAGTTGACTGATTTGTGTTTGAAACCTGCTCCACTCTGTCCAGTTGAAGGGAGATTACAGTTCTAGTGATGTAATAAAACACACAGCATGTGTTTGACTGAGTGCTATACTGAGTGAATGGATGAATAAATGCAAATATATGAAGGATCATATCAGTTTGTATTGTGGTGGTATGATGATTGTAAATCTGCTCCTGCAAAGCAAAGTTGCTGCTATTTCTCTCACAGTTTATTTTGTGATACACCATATAAAGTATTTATTTGCAGTTAGATGACTTGACTATTCAATGTTCCCCATTAGGCTGCTACTTCCAAACACAGCTTTGTTCAGTTTTTTATTTATTTATTTTTTTTACTATTTTATTTGTGATAAATAGTAACCACTTTTTTAGATAATCAGCAGAAGTACCAACAGACCAAACAAAAATATAATTTAGTTAGTGAGGTTAATTAATTAGTGAGATGCTCTGGTTAAACATGTTAAACAGTTTTAAAAAGTGTTCAACAGTGCTGCTAACCAGGAGAGAGGAGCTGTTAACTTAGCTTAGCTAGCATGATAACAGCTCTGCTCACCGCAGAACATGTTTGATTCTTAGTAACTAAAGAACTGACACAAGTTTAGATGATAATGATTCCAGTCTGAAGACGTGAAGTCGACCAACTGGTGCTAAATAGACAGAAAGGCAAAATTAAACAACTTTTGTGATGTTTGGATCTGTAGCCTGTTTGACTAACCAAACATTAGCTTAGCGAGCAGGCTACCGACCCAAACAGTGCCACACACAATACAGGTTTGATTCTGACTAACCGCTGCTCTGCTGACACAGGTTTAGATGACAAAGACTTATGTATAAAAGAGCAAAAATTGACTGACTAGTGTTGGATTGACAGCTGAAATCGAACCTGTTCTGTGGTGTTTGTGACTATAGCGTTTTTGGCTAAGCTAATCAGAGCTTACTAAGCTGGCCAAACATGCCACACTTCAGCACATGATTGGTTCTAGCTAACTGATGCTGAAATGACACCTGTTTAAAAGATATTGAAGAGTCCAAAGTCGCATGACTGGTGTTGGAGTGAAAGCCGAAATCGAGCATGTTCTGTGGTGTGTGTAGCACTTAGCTGTAGCTAAACTACTATCATGCCTAGTATTTCCTAATGTTTTTCCTGGCTCTGCTTTTTTCCCTTTTTTTTTATCAGTGCCACCTCATGGTGAGCTGCCTCACTGCAATCAGTGAGCTCCTCTAAAATATAAATGGGTTGAATCTGTTTATTTGGCTGTTCAGATATGTAATAGAAATTTGATACATCATTTTTAAATACCAGCATCATTTTAGATAAAGTCACCGCAGTATACGTTGCTAGCGTAACACTGCCCAAGCCCAGAAAAATCACTGATGTCTTCTTCAGAAATTTCTCCAGATAATGCCACCAGATATGTTCAAACAGATATGCAATATTGTTCAGCAACTCAACATGCTTGCAGGAGAACACTATTTGCTTGACTATGAATGCATGATGGAGCAGAACGTATACCTTACACTGATGGGTTGAGAGTAATTCTAATTCAAGTCCAATATTGACCTAATTTTTGATTGCTTTCAAATGAGGTCAATATTGGACCTGTGGGCAGACAATATGCATGTGCAAAGTAGGTCATATGAATAATTAGTGACTTTCCAATGTCTCTATGTACTTTGCCAGAATTTCTCCTCTTTCACTACAAATTGGCATGTTCTCATGTTGGGTAAAGCTTGCACAAGGTTTACTCTTACCAATAACAAGGTTAATGTTGCTTGACCCACAGCTTTTATTGAAACAATGCATTTCCGCTTCAGCAGTCTTACTATATAGGTGTCTGAACAGTATGACTATACATGCACATAATCAAACTGACATGCAAAGTGACACAAGGTTGAAGGTTTACCACGTTCAGGTTGGTGGTCCTAATTTCATCATTTTTTGGAGTTGTAAGTAAGTCAACATGTGACTTGAATGCTCATGTCTGGTTCCAATACACCTGGCTCTAATATTCAGATGCTTCATAAGGCTTTCATTAACTGGTTAGATTACAGTTGTTACTAGACTCTGTAGAGTGGTAGGTGGACCGGAGTTGGACACCCCTGTTTAATAGTATCTTCCATGGATGTTAAAGTGTGTTCCGCCTATGCTTAGAAAATACTACGTGCAAGATATGCTATTTTTTAAAGCAATTAATATTATATTTGATTAACTAAGGATAGGTCTGTATCATGCGATATCCCAAATGTGTGCTCTGTACTTGCTGCAGGTATTGGGGTTCAGTGTGCCTATCCACAGTTACTTCTTGCTGAAATCATCTCATACGCTGAGTTACGTTCCTGGGCCACCGGGTCACCACCCGGGCCAGCAGGTATTCATGACGAAAGGGCAAGTTGAGCCCTGCTGGTTACTCAAGCTCCCAAATATCCTTTCTTTCATGGTCACTAAGGTCTTCTCCTGTAGTCATGCTGGCCATAATGAGACAGACCATGAGACCTGACCAGCATTCTTATGACCCTGTTCCTGAATATTATTTGCTTAATTAGTGGAAGAATCACACCTGTACCATAGGTCATGCTTTGTAGACCCGAGCTACATATCAATTTTTAGCCATGCCTCTGTCCTTTCAGTTGGTAGCAATAAAACATTTCTTGCTTTATTGTGAAACATACAGTTATATCTTATTCACATGTAGGCCAGTGTGACATTTTAAAATGATATCTTCAGGAAGGGCAGTGGAGTTTATGTATTCAGACATGTATTCGTATTTGTCGTCAGAAGTGGATGAGCGTGGGTCTGTTGGGTGCCGTCAATAGGCCAGTCACGACCGTCCCACTTGCCCAGCTGATATCAGGAGGTGGTCTCTGAGGGTGTGATGCTCTTTGGCCTGTGGCCCACATCGTGCCTACTTCAACACTTCATCTGAATGTGGGTGGTGACGCCTCTCACCTCATGCCACACCTCGCTCTGTCACTGCTGATTAATTGGTATATATTTGTACGCTTTTTTTTTTTTGCTCACAAAGACATCAGTGCCACTTTCAACATCCCATATTAGCACATTTTTATCCCTGACATTGTTAAATTGGAAAAATATTTTGCCACCCCTTTGTCATGACAAAATGTGTGAAACAAGTAGATTGACAAAGAAACAATAGTTTTGCTAGCAGCGTTCATTTTAAATTAAAAGGAGTATTTTCAGATTGTGTCAGAAGGGACCTCTTCATGCACCCGGAGGATCAAAGTGATTCAATTTTGAATGTAGAAAGTTTGATTGGTATCTGGCTAGCCTCAATTTCCACCCAATTTCCATTCATTTCTTAAAGTGCTCAAGTGATAAGCACCCTGTTTCATGTTTTTTCATAACTGTTTTTATACCACAGTGATCCTACCATGCTAAACTCTCAAAGTCTTTTATGTCTCCTAAACCAGTGGCTATGTTAGTCTGTGTGGTTATTGTTTGGTGCTTGCTTCCTATAACCTAACTGTTGGTTTGATAATTCACATGTTCAGCAGTGGTAGATCTAGTAGGCATCAAGCATGTACAGCGCTCTTCCTTGCTGAAGTTCTTTATGTAGTTATGTTATAACTGAAGTTTGGGGGGAGGAAGATGCCTGAGACCCCACCTTC